TTTGTCAGAAAATCAGTAATAACTAAACATAGAGGACCATGTCTCAAACACAACTTTGAAAACACCTCTTGAACAACTGCTAACTACAATAAAGCCTCCAAAGACGTACATACATATTTTATAGTTGACAACTGAAAAAGTGAAAGAAAAAGATTCTGAGATCACGCTGGAGTCGCAGTAATGAACAAAAGTACATTCGTTATCATATTCACGGTTGCCAAATTTTGTCCCTCGATAATTCACGCAACAAACTGATTTCTAATTTATCTCGAAGGTCAAATTTTCCCCTGGAAAATGACATGCTACATCGTTCTAGCCAGTCACGATTCAGAGTAATGCAACTTTTAGAAACCTTGAATGACACATGATTGACTTTTCACGCAGGGAGTTGATTGTTTAGTTGACAGGTATTTACATAGCAGTGTTCCTCCTTCTCATCGGAATGGGAACACTTCAGCCATCTGGTGGCCTTTTGTCCACGGAAAAGTCAGAAAGGCACATTTCATAGTCCCATCGAGAACGTAAGTTAATGAAAAGTGACTTTTCCTCGTAATATTTACGACAATGACACATTGCTTGGCAAAGAGGAAAGTATTGTGGTTTCTTTCTTTATTTATGTCAATGGCTAAATCTTGGACATGTGCCATAGTCATGCCATGATCCGTGCCATAGCCTGCCATGATGGTCATGAATTATCATGTCGACTATAAATTCAACTTCATCAGAAGCCATCATCATCCGTTACTTCTTATGAGGAAAAACTTATAGAACGAAGAAGGGCTTTAAACAACTCCTTACGGCATCTGTGGTTAAATTCTCTGTGGGTACGCTTCAAGTTCCCTCTTGGACGATTCGCATATCTCAAATTCATATTCGTTGTATTGAGTGTGTAAGTTTGATAAATTGTTTACTCTCCAACATATTTTAGACATGAATTTTATAATCGTGTTACTTCGAAAGAGTTGTTTTAAAATCTAATCATTAACCGAAAAATTTTGTCTTAAGGATACCACTAAACAGCGGGCCACTAACGGGCCGTGCTTGTTATTTCAATATCCAGCAAAGCTTAAATAACTACGGGGAAGGTTTTCATTTACACCTTATTGCTATCGTTTTTATATGATTTCTAAAATCACCTTTCGATAAACACTATAAACGCCTCCAAATGCTAGTCTCTCTTAAGTGCAATAGATCATATTCACATTTATTTTGTGCTATATGAGTAATCAGGTTATTGTTATTGTGGATCGAAGTTTCTGATCTATAAACCGTCTCCATCTAAATTTTGTTACAGTTTTTGTTCCTAAACACTGTAACGTAGGCTATTTGGTCTCAAGTTTTTTATCGGCAAAAAGGGCGACAGGAATTTACACGATGGCTGTTGGGCTGCATTGTTATAAAAATAACCACTGAGTTCTGGCGTGCGTCCTACGGCTATACTAGCCTCAGGTAAAAGACAAACAGGTACTTAGGAAATCAACATGTCGGTTGTAACAGCATGGTACCATCATCATATGCGCTTCTTTTCGTTAATCGTCTGAAAAAGCGAAAAGAAAAGCTAAAAAAAGAGTCGCTCTATAGTGCTATCTCACGATCAAATCACCTTGAGTGTAGACTCTGAAGAAACGCTTTCCTGGGTTGATCAACAAAATTATTAGATTCTAAGCAGACCGTTGTCCAGCACCGGTGGGCTACTGAAACACTTAGTTCTTACCAACTACTTATTAGATAAAAAAAATGCCGTAAATTTTGAGGGGAACTGCGAAACAATATGAATCACCTTTAATTCATCTCTTATATTTTAACATTTTGAGCTATATTCTCCGTAGGATTGTAGACGGGTTAGTAGAAGTGACATAAGTGAATATCAAAGTGGAATTGGTTTCGTAGTTTTTCATACCGCTGAAAGATGTGAATTCTTGAAAACAAAAACCTTTTTCTCGGTTCTTCGCTCGTATATCTGAATATGTAAGTTGCCACTCCTCGATATCAAAAATGATCAAAATTTTGTTAATGAAATAACAAAAAACAGTCGAAAACTTTAAGATGAATTCGAAAACTGCAAATATTTCATTCATTTGCTTCATTACACGGAATTACTCCGCAGAAAATGTGATGCAACAAAGATCGGCACCAAAGCTAAACACAGTCGCAATCTCGCTTCAGCGCGGGATAGGTCGCATACAACAAAAATGTTCTGGACTATTTAAGCTTTCTTCTATCTTATCTTCTTGTTGATGGTAGACAACCAAACATTTTGCATGTACAGGACACACCTGCGTGTGGACCGCCGCTTCTCGCCAAGATGGACATTGATCTGCTGAGATTTTTAGACCCCTAAGGGTTGAGAGACCGCCAGGGCTTTCCTCCTTAATCCTTTAATCTCGTTAAGGGCAACGGAACTCTTTGGAAAGCATGTTGCATTAGCTGCATTTCAGTTATGAAAATTTTCGAACGAGGCTAAAAGGCAAAAATTTTAATTTGCAAGAGAGGTATGAAACTTCTACAACAGACCATTCAATGTGCATTTCATGAGCGAGCATATCCATTTTCGAATATCAGAATTTTCTACCGTTTTAAAATTCCAATCAAATTACTGTCGAAAAACGCAGACGGGACGTGACATGCGATAGCCTGATACCCCCTCTGGTTACTGAGGAGTGGCACTATTATTACTATCGTGTTAGAACACAACACCAATCTGTAGAGCTACTAGCCATCCCTCATCTGCCATCATTTTTCAGAAATACAAACAGCCTTTAAATAACAATGCCTTTACCTTAAGTTTCAGTTTCCAAGTTAACTTGGAGAGTCGTTCCGGAATGTGGAAAATTACCTTTCACATGCGTGAAAATGACACCTTCTTAGGCTGATATATGTTATCTCTTTTTTTTCGCAGAAGACGAACGTCAGGCATGTGTTGAAAAAGATGTAACCCCTAGAAGAGAACTTGAAAAGGTAGGAGGTAAACCATAAATGGCAGTTGATTCAAACTCTACATAGTTTTTTTCCTCGCTATCACGTTTCCGTTACATGTATTATCTGTTGATATGGATATTGGCTCATTGATAGGAGTCGATGTTTACGAAGAAAAGCTATTTATTTCATTTTGACTCTAGCTATCAAATAAGTCATTTCATTTTGATTAAAGAAGTACTCGGAATACTGTCTTAGTAGCTCCGCAGCTAAAAATTTCTAGAGAATCCAAGAACACCATTTTGTTGAATATAGGATATAAATTTATAAATACGATTTCACCTGTGGAGAGCGCTGATTTTTTTTCCCTTGCCGTTTCTTGGTTACTTAGCAGTTTTATTCAGATATCAGTTCTTTTTCAAAGAGCAAATACTGTGAGTAATCGACCATGGAGTCAGTAGAGTGGTTGATAGAGCAGAGCGAGAAACAGAAAATAACGGTAGGTAAAGATAGCCGGCGACATACAGCGTAGCGGGACAAATTTAAAGATGGTCGGACTAATTTATTTAAATATTTTCCGGGCATAAAATTAAATCAAATTGGTCATTCGATGACGCTTTGCTTCGTGATGGTCGTGTATGCACTTAGATCACCTTGATTCTTTCCAGTTCAATTGAACTACTGTTTAGCTTATATCGAAAAAAAGAGTGACCGCTAATTGGGGCTGGAACCTATCACTGCTTCCTTATGAGGTCTTTACATACACCTCCAGATTGGAACGGATGGGATATAGACGACAGATTTAGAGTTCGTTGCTTTCTTCAGATGGTTTCACGGTTAGTAGTTTATGTTGGCTAGAAACTAGCATATGGCATTTATACCATCTTTACTGACGATCTCTTTGATGATTAGCGTAAAAGATAGCGCAAGTCTAACGAGTAAGTCGCATTAGGGGGAATTGATCCGACAGAAGCGATAATAATAAACTTACGTGTCGCCAGCGTTTCGACAGTGACTTTATTTTAACAGAAGAAATGGACTGAATCAGAAAAATGATAAACAAATGTAACTCAAACTGAAGATTATTAAAGTCACGTTTTTGGCCCCAGAATGTTTACCATTTTATTTCAAAAATGGAATTGATTTTCGCAAATCAAAGGACGAATTCATACCGTTTAAATGTATTGACTTTTTTTCCGTATAAATTTTTCCTTTTATAAATACAACTTTTCGAAGCACAGTTGCAAATGATCACAGATGTGAAGATATGAGCAGGCTATTACACTCATCATTTTTGTTAGACTTGGTCTAAACGCACACTGTTTTCTAGTTTTTTGAATGATGAATTTTGCATATCTAATCCTGGCGATATTCAATTTTGACCATCCGTTAATTCTAATCTTATACTAATCACTAAGTGATTACATGACCTCTCCTTTATGGTTGAAAAATAAAGTAATTTAGCCTGCGGTTTTGACTGCTAAAGAATATAACTGTTCTGTGGTTGTAACAAGCCAATATTCAATCTGACCATATACATCTGTGATTTGCTAATGACAACGTTGAGGGCTATTAAGACAGGTGGTGGGTTACAAACGACGGCTGAGGTTAAAAACTTGTTCCTTTTCGAGCCAGATAGAATGGAGCTCATGAGATCAACGCAGACACAGTTCATTTAAAAGATGAACCTGAGATGCAGCAATGTTTGAGAAGTTTGTTTTCTGTAATATGCTTCATGCCTACCAGACGATTCAATCAGCTTCTGCGAGCTTGTCAAATATCTGAACCTCTTGGCTTGATTTTTCGGGGGCACGCCAGTAAAGTCACTAAACATAAGATTCGTTGGAGGCGAATTTCAGGGGTATGCAAGAAAATCTTTGAAAATTACTTTCTTAATAACCCGCGATAAGCACTATACCAATAAACAAGTAAACGAAAATCTATTCATTCCAACATTTGATTATTTCAACAGGAAAGCTACTAGTGAGGTCGATAGAGACAAAGTTTTCAGCCAGCAAATATTTTAAAAACAGGGAAATACAGGAGTATAAAAGTTGAAGCTGTTTTCATCGAGTGATTCTGAAATGTCACAGGGCAGTGAAGTAAAGAGACTGAACTTTTCACGCAGTCCAAACGTGTCTGTTGGATCAGATGTCATTAAAGTTCAGCAAAATGCAGGATACGAACTCCTTTACGAGGTTCTGCCCTTTGCTATCATCATCATCATAGTAAATGGCACTGTTTTCTTCCTGTTTATGAAAAGCAGGCGGCTTCGAAGTCCTAGTAACTGCCTTCTGCTGAGTTTAGCTGTGTGCGATTTTACGAACGGCTTCGTATGCATACCTCTGTTCTTGGTAGTCGCATTTAGAGTCATGCCAAACCCGCACATTGGGAGCTTTAACTACCTGTTGAACAACTGTGTGGCCATGTCAGCTGCCTATCACATTCTTGCAATCACGCTAGAGAGATATTACAGTATTAAGAAGCCTTTTGTTCATCGTCAACTGACAAAAAAGTCGATGCTTAAAGTCGCTCTCTTGGTATGGGTCGTGGCTCTCATTATTGGATTTATGCCGTACGCTTGGGACTCACTGCGCATTACAGACTTAGTCTCCTTCATGAAGGTAAAGGTTGGCTATGTAGCATTCTGTTTGACCTTTGTCTTTCTGATTCCATGCATCCTTATTGTTACTTCCCAGACTATCATGTTTAAATTTATAGCAAGAAGTGGTAGACAGGGGCTGACTGCTACCAAGGCTGCCCAGCGGAAAGCAAAGAACGACAAGAAATGCCTCATCATCTTCGCTCTGATGGCGATTATATACGTGGTATGTTGGTTGCCATGGTTCATACTTTATTTATACGTTTCTTTCTGGTTTGTCAGTGGGGAAACCTTAGTCGAGTTGCAAAAGATATCTCGGTGGGTCGTTATTTTCAGGTATACAACCTCAGTTGTCAATCCTTTGCTGTACACTTTTTTTAAAAGAGACTTCCTTGTGGCTTTTAAACTGATCGTCCTGAAACGGAGCTCTACTTCTTCAGCGAGCTTTGCATGCACAAGCAATAAAGTTGATTCACAACAGAGGAAGTTGATTACTTCGTCGAATGGCAAGAAACATAGCGAGGAGATTGAATTGGAAACTGTTGTGTGAATATATGAGACACTGAAAATGCAATAGCAGCAGGATATGGAATGGATATTTAAAAACTGTTTACCAAAATATTTGTTTATTTATGTCACTATGCCGAAAAATGGTCGGAAATCAGTCTCTACTCTCAGACTCTTGTTTCATCTGCTGCTCAGAAATAACTAGTACCAATTAGCACGCGCGATAAGCCCTATTTACCTGTGTGGTATGTACTTGATAGGAGATTTGCATTGTCGGGCGTAGATACGAAATTTACCCGCAAGTATTGATAACATCTCTCAAGAGTGAGCGAAGCGAAGAAGATAGGTTCATTCTTTTATGTGGATATTGATCTTTCATGTGGATATTTATTGCATGTCCGACAATTTTGGGGCACATCTTAAGAGCATCGAATGCTGAATGCAGAGAATAACTACACTTTTACTCAGCTCGCATGAAGACTACTTTAATATGAGGTGCCACTAACGAGCATCTGATACAGGACATTTCTTTAAGTAACGCCAAAATAAAGCGAGTCAATGACCTTGGACTTGAGAAGATCAATTTAGCGAAAGCAAATCCATGATTACTTTCAAGCAGCTATATATGGAAGTACCTATTAGGTTCATTTTACAATAAAGATATCAAAGCTGGAATTTTCACTGTGTCCCTAAGTAATCTTTTGGTCTTTCTGCACTGTTCTGAGTTCACGTCCCCTGATGACTCTGACGTGCAAGGGGTCTCCCTGTACCGGTGTGCTGTAATAATAAGTGCCAACTGCAAGGCTAGTTCCTCTACAGAGATTTCAGTAAACTCATTTTTGCGTCTACTTGAGCTTTCTCTCCGCGTTTGGGTTTCCAGTCTCAGCAAATCATGCTCTCCTTACGCTCGCCTAAAAAAGCCAAAAAATAAAATGATGCCTCTTATGAAGGCTGTTGCCACGACAAATTCGTTACCAGATTTTCATGAAAATAAGCCTTTTTTTTTAGCAGAATATAGGGTGCCCTAGGACGCTTAAATAACTTTCAGCGGAATGCGTATATAGTAATGAAATAGTACGGAAAGATTGCGGACGTTTTCACCTAGGGAAAACCAAAATATATAATGTACGCGTTCATGGACTGAGGAAAGGTCTTAGAACTTACTTTAACTGCTCCTCGTTATCGAGGAAAAAAGCTCTCTCCATGTCATCAAATGACCTTTGTCGTAATCACTTAAATTTTATTAGAATCATATTCTATTGAGAGCCTGATCTTATGACATTACTGGGTTTTGTTGAGTTATTGAAATGATTATATTCCTCTAACACAATAAATTACTCTGAATAGAATCTCATTTTATTTGCTTTTATTTTTAACATACAATCGACTTAACATAATACTCACTCATATTTATAATGTAAGCATCCAGTTATCAATGAACAACTTTATCAACATTTACTGTATTGAAAACATTCACTGTTTATTATCTCATTTTTTGCATCTTATAATATTGTCACGGCACTTTAAATTTTACCCCATTTTTAACTCGTGAATTGCGCGCATGCGCAAGAGCGAGTTATAGATATGATGTGGGGAATGGCACTCGCTCGCTCGATTGGTCGATTCCTGTAAACTTTTTTCGATTTTAGGCTCTTGAGTGTATTTGATAGTTTTTGGCGAGCAATAAACAAACGAAATGGCGACCTAAGAATAGTGGTGGGGTGAAAAAGAAGCAGATGATAATCTTAAAAAAGTTTTTTATTTTCGTTTTAGTTTCAACAAGCGGCGCCAGCGACTGGCAGGCATGCAAGGATTCACACCGAAATAACAGAACAACCTTCGTTTTTCATAAAATTGTAATTTACAATCCTTGAACTTGAAAACAATCCGAAGATTCATTGAAAATATCACTTACTGCGAAGCGCTCGGAGTTTACATATGTTCAAAAGCTTTTTCTGTTATGGCGTGAGATTGAGGACAAAATCGATCATTAAGTTTCGTATCGTGTGTTTTTCCTGTGTGAAGCAACAGAAGACGCCGGCGACTGACAAAATTACAACTTAACACGAAAATCAAATAACACCTAAACAAACAATCTTAGCTACCGGTTTTCAGTGAATTTTTAAAGAACAATTTTCTTTTAAGTTTCAAGACAATTTGAAGATTCAAAATAAATATTACGTACTAAAATTCAAAAGTTATACACCACAAAATTGATAAGTAGGCCTGAAATGAAATTCTATCTTGTTCTTGATTATACGTTACCTAGCACGTGACTAAAATCTACCCATGCGGAGATCCAAAATGACGGTGGCAGTCTTGGCTTAGTTATATCACTCAAAACTCGTTCCCTTTGTCTCATTTGATAAAGAGGGAATCGTTAATGTTTTCATTAAGACAGTATTGCCTTGATTTTCTAATATTTACAATGATAGACAGTAAATTTCACTTTTCACTCACATTTACTGCCAACCTTTTCTTTTGAACCAGAAAAAAAAATGATATACGTTTAAAACACATCACATCATCCACCCTTATCAAATGTAATAGCATGATCATTTCAATTGTAATGCCTTCTTATCCCAACGTTACTTTGTTTCTTTGCTACATTAGCGAACACTGAACTACTGCTCGTACTCTAGGTATGACAGTCAACCACAAAATTCCCTAAACCAGATAACATTAAACATAATCAAAAATCATGTGTCAATTCACGAGTTTGCTCACAGAGCACTTTGATTTAAATCTATTTTTCACTATACAATTCACAAAAAGTACAATTAATTTAATATTCACAACAACATGATGCATACATCAAATTATCAAAACTATATCAACATTCTCTGTATTATTGACAACTTTGAATTTTTATCTACACATCTTATTCTTTGTATATTAGTTACATGATTCCCTGATGATACCCCATACCATTCATTACTTTTACAATCTGCAACAAAGCAGTTGTTGTACATCAATGAATTAATGGCATGCCAATTGCAACTCCTAGTCCTTTCCTATGATCCCTTCTCTAGCTAAGCAATCCAGTACTTCTCTGTTCACAAAGCATGATTGACAGGGGAAGGGGAATGCTCAATTTTGAATAATGCAAAAATAGTTTCATTTTGTTGCAAATTGAAGCCTTCAAGAACATAATTCGGCCCCATTCAGTTGTAATTTACCCTAACCTCGAGCTATGTAACTGAAATTAAATTTGCCAGTCCTGCAATCAGCAGAGTATGAACAGAGATCAATCAGTTCCTGAAGAACACTTCCTTCTAACAGCTTTGTTCACAACATGTTTCCAATGAAGGTTACGTCCGATCAAGCAGGATTCAGTTTCTTGGACCTCATCTTATTGATATAAGCTTCAGTCGATCGGTTGACACCGAAGTTTTGTAACAAGAACCCACCTGACACTCCGAATATTCCTATTGAAACATTGACATTGACATTGACAGTGACATTGACAGTGACATTGACAGTGACATTGACAATCACAATATTAGGGACAGGGACAGTGAGGTGAACAATCAAGTGAGACTTACTAAGACTATGACAATGACCCTGACAGTGACAGTGAGACAGTGATAATAAGTCGGTGAGAATGACAGAGTGTCCGTGACATTGACAGTGACAACGTGTTATTGGCAAGTCTGACGTAAGACTAACATCGCGAACTTAAGGGAGGACAGCTTTTGGTGGTTAACCCTTCTGACCAATTTTATTAAAAATCAAAACTTGCTTCAAAGCGTCGTCAGAGAGAAAAGGATTTTACTAATGTGAGGACACTCTGTGTTTTCTGAAATTTTCCAGATGGATTACTTGAGGCTAGAAATTTGTTTCTTACGGTCGATCAGTTGATCGATCAACCGATATATGACCCAATTGCAATGTTTTTCCTTGCCTGCTAATAAAAAAGTAACCGTGTTCTGTAGCAGATAAACGAAGAAATTTCTGGTGTCAAGGAAAAGACGGTAGCAAATCCAGGGGATGGCCTTGCCTTCCACCGATTTTTTAACCAAAATGAGACTTTGACGATTGCTAAGGTTTCAAGGGACCATCGATGAACTGAGAAAACGCCAACCAAACGTTACTGAGAGCGTAAAATGTGGATATCTAACAATTTAAATGTTCTTGGTGGAGTATACCCTCCTTCTGCACAAAGAGTGATTTTAATCGGCAGGTGAAAAGAACTTTTCATGTCAGTTACCTGAAGAACACCTTTTGTGCCTTAGCCAGTTGTGCATTATGCACCGACGAGCACATAATACAGTACATTTATACAAGTAACGCCAAAATTTCGCAAATCGATGATCAACCTGACCAAGGACAGCAAAGCCATGATTACTTTCAAGCAGTTATATACGGACGTACTTACGAGGTTCGTTCCACAATAAATACTTCTGATAGCGTTCTGGAGCATTCTTTTAGTTTTTCTGCACTGTTTTGTCCTTTGTTTTCCTTAGGAACGCGAAAAAGAGGTTTCCCCGTACCACTAGTATGCTGTAATGAGTACCGGCTGTCAGGCTATTTCTTTAACAGAGCTTTTTCCGTCACAAAACTCGAAAATAATAAAAACACAAGGCCTTTGGCTCGTGCTTTCATCAATTTCCTCGTGTTTAGAAGGCCTGATGAAACACTCGCCCTGGTTTATGAAATATTTCATCACAACGGATACATTGGGATTTTATATTTTGCGGCAAACGATTGTTTTATGAGTGAGTGGCTTTGTGAATACAGTTTTGTTAGTTTAATAGCCGACTCTTCTTTGGCTTTTCTAGACATCAGAATTTCAGTTTTAATGGTTTCTACCCGGCTAGAGTTTACTACAAACCTACAGACTCTCATAGTTGCTTGTTGTATTCGTCTTCGCATCCAACACATGTCGAGAGTTCTATTGCTCTTTCGCAGTTTCCCAGACTTTGTCGTTAATGTAATGACGACTCTGATTTTTCCCACAAATGTGCCAGTTTTTCGATAAACGTGGCTATCCTGTTTCTGTCTTTCAAGTGTGCCACCACCACGTCAACAGTCAGCACTACAAACGAAACAAAAGGAAAATACCGATCGCATTCTATTATTCACTCTCACATTTCAGCCTCACAACCGCGCGGTTTAATCCATCATTCTTAAAAATTCTTGATCAGAAGTTCGTTACAAAGAAATGACCAACCTGGAAATGTTAAAATGTACTCGTGCACAATGCAAAACCTGTCCTTTCACTCATAACGTAGAGAAAATGTCGAGTACGTAGAGAAGATTAGTCATCACTTCACGTGCACCTCTGCCAATGTCATCTATTGCATAATTTGCTCTTACTGCAAAAAGTCATACATTGGTGAAACAGGAAGACGACTAGGTGACCAATTCCGAGAAAACACTCATTGAATGAAATGACAAAGACGCTTTCAAACCAGTTGCTACACACTTTCATCTCCCTAATCATTCTAAGCAGCATATGGCAGTTCGCGGCCTTTCCCTACATCTAGGCAGTCCGGAAAGCCTCAAAATTCTAGATCAAAAATTTCTCTTGAATCGGCACTCTTAATCCACAACTTATCAACGAACGCTTTTCATTCAACTAAGTTTGTCTTGTTTTTCTCGTTACCATGTTCCCACCGATAGCGTAGCTCTATTTTCTCCATATTAACACACACACCACCCACAATTCCTTTATTCGCTCTGACGAAGGGGTAACGCTCGAAAAGTCAGCTCTGAAACTCTTTACGGTGGCCAAATTACGTTATTAACTCAGTTGATAATACCAAATGATAATACCCTGAAGAGTTTGGTGATAGCCACCTTGACAGAGTCCCAATACAAAATATTTTTGCAAGCTGGCGGTGCTCTTCTGCAGGGAAAATCGGCAACTTTTGTGATTAACTTTCACAGTTTTACTTAGCTTGTTACTATGATTTTCAATCTCTTGTTTTTACGTAGGTCGTTCCTCCAGAAACGACCTTGAGATAGCTTACTGTTATACTCAGTTGAACTTAAGTAGCCGCTTTGGAGACCTATGCCGTAACTAGTGTAATTGTTTCTTCTTCTGTCTCAAACCTTCCTCAAAGGGAAAGGACTATCTGCGAGAACATGTAAGTTGTAAAACTCAGTCTCCCATCATAACATCATCCTTTACTTCATGAACCTTATAAGGAAGCATTCCGCGTGAAATGGGTAAAATCTCGGTGATATCTATGTTCTATGGAAGCAGATAATGCACTGACCACCGTAGGAACACCTGGAGGTAGTCTGAAAAGTTGATTGAGCAAATGCCTGATTGTATGACCTTTTCAGGCGTGTTTGTGTAAATGTGATCAGTGACAGAGAGGGCATGGTCGGTTAATCTTGTTGTTTTTACTATAACTGTCATTAGGCCTAAATTAAATAGCACGTCTAAGGTTTGTAGCTCTCTGTTGAGCTTTAGAAAATCCACATCCCTAAAGGCCAAAACCCTCTTCCTTTAATCAAACTCTCTATTTATTTTGATTATGTTATAGGAATTAATGACCTATTATTAACCATCAGGAACAAAAATGTATTGCTATTGAATAACAATGTACTTTTTCCGCTGTTGCTGTTGTTGGTGCTGCTGTTGCTGTTGTTGGTGCTGCATGCTGTTGCTGCTGTTGGTAGTTAACTCAAAACATTATTACTCGATCTGGTCCAGCGAAAGATCGTGTCTCCTTGAAAACTCTAAATGATCAACAAAATGAAGGCTGTGATTTCTAAATTTGATATTTACATAGGAAATTTTCTTTATTTTTTTTGTCTCAAAAATCGACATATGTTTGGTCCAGGTTTCACTGTAAGCCAAATGTCGTGTGATAAACACCCATTTTTTCCCAAACTACCATTGTTGCGATGCAGCAACCAAAAATTCCACAAAATCTCCACTTTGTGACAAAGAAGAGCAGATAACAGGAGCCCAAGTAATGGTTTCCTAGCAGAAAATTAAACTAACTTTTATTTAACCCGGTCAACAATATACTGTGACGATAGGTTTTCGCGCACCGAACTAAACTTTCACGGGAACGTACAAAACGAGGGGAATGAACTCGGTAGAGACCACTCGACTAACGAGAACGGAAACTCGTCACAATTTCCTGGCACACGGAGATCGACTTCGAGTGAGGTTGTACGGACGTCAAGGAAGAGACAGCGTTTTTGGTTCCACTTTTATTCGTAGAGCACTCTAACATACATCATACTAGAGTCAAAACTAAAACTGTAATCAGCACGCTGCCGTCTGTGTAATCGGTACGCCGTTGTGGATGTAATCGAAAAAGCCTTACAAAGTACTTGCTTAAATATGAACTGGTGTGAGGTTCCATTGTTACACAAATCACAACATTTGAATAAGGACACAAAGGAGCGGAAAAAAGTCTCTTTGAAATTAAACCAAAGCTACTTAAATATTCCATCTGTTTCTACGACGGAAAGAATCTCAAACTTAAAAGGACGGATACAATAAACTCGAGGCCATTAAAAATAGGAAAGTTAGGTGAGAATTCACAGCTCTGATATAGAAAATATACCCATCTTAATTACAGTAGAGCAGCTTAGGATATAAAAGTGGAAAAGTAATTAAAAGTTTCTGCTTATCTATGCAAGGTTGGTGTGGAAACTATCGTATGAACAGAAATTAAAGCTACGAGTAGAAACTCGGCAGCTAACACTTAAATTTACCTAAAAAAACCAGTAATAAATAGCAAAAGAGCCGACATGCAGGTGAGTAATGAAAGCGAGTAACAAGCAAAAATCTCTTAGTTTACCATTCAAAAACTACGGTGGTTTATTATTATTATTTTTATTTACTAGAATGAAAGAACTTGAATGAGCTCGAATAAATTGGAAATGGTTAAGTGTGAAAAGTTTACGAATAAATGTGTTCCAAACAAACACACGGAAAAATCAGTACTTTCCCCGTAACAATATTCAAAGCCTCTCACTATCTACCAAATAATGATCCCATTTTTAGTGGACCAAAAGCTCAATTAAGGCCTTTCAATTCTTGCATGGAACAGCTTCCATTTGATTATGGAGGCTATCTTCAAGAGGACCAATCAGAAATCTGCATAAGCTGCAAGAAATATCTGCACACCCCTTTCCTCATTGCAAAAAGTAAAGTATCATTAAATAGCTTAAGTAAGAGAGAAAATGTGAGTGATAGATTTTGCAAATAATAAAAGTATTTGAATATTATAGTTAACCCGGTTCTCAAATTTCCATTAAGATGTATATGTACATTATATGTATGTTGTGTATGAGGCGCATTGAAACCCCGATCCAGGCTTTAGAAGTTATTCTTCGCTTATTGCTACAGCTATATTTCGTGAATCGCTGACGTTGCCTGATAGGTGCGGTAACTTAATAAACCGCACGTTAATTCCCTTACCTTTAAATTAGCGGTCTCACAATCTCCTAGAATAGACCTCGAAGTAACGATATCCTTTCCATCAGACATCGACCACCGCAGCCGTAATCTCTTGCGATTTCCGGTATCCTCCTTTCCTCCTGAGAGATTAGCGGCAGATGTCACGAATTGGAAATGGTGTACTCAGTTAAAAACGAAAAAGGAATGCATATTTTCACAGACCTGTCAGAGTGCGTCAACAAAGTAAATTCGGATTTTTTTATCATACGCTGCGAGTCTGATAAGTCTAAACACGTAAATGGAAAGCGGCCCAAGATGACCTTACGTTCCGACGGATTGCGGAGCGTGTGTATAATTATGCCCTCCTTCGTAGGAGATAAACTTATCTTTCCTTCATCAGAGATAGAATTTTTATGAACTAGAAAATAAAAAAAAGGTAGAAGTATTTTAGGAGCTGGGGATTATCTGTCTGGTATTTAGACAAATTACATAGCTCACTATGAATATGAATAATAATGAGACGACTGGACACTGGCAGCGGCTATTATTTTGAGAATTTAATCAGTAAATGCGTGAGTGCAACTTCCATAATCGCTTTAGTGGCTACGAGAGCAGGAGATAAGAAGAAAACACTCTTAAATAAAAGGGTTATATAAACAGGTTAAAACTGCAACAAATCACTTTAAAGGTGATCACGTAATGTATTCATAAGGGCTATTGACGTGTTGACGTGCTGGCTAATGACATAAGCCAACACACAAACATTCAAGTGATGGCTACGCGAAATGGTGTATGTCCCGGCTACCATCTCTGCTGAGACTTGGATCATTTCTAAATTTATCACGAAAACAGCCTGAAGGATTGACACATGACATAACAAGTACGATTAGAGTTATGAGGAAAAAAGGTTAATGGATTTAGAGACCATCGACACATGACATGTACGCGGGTTGGAATTCTAGTAACGAAACCTAAGGGTGAAAAGGTTACTTCTACATATACCAAGCTCCCGTTCACTTTAAATTCCACCAATATCAGTGGGAACGTGGAAGATTGAAAACAACTATCTGCATAGTCTCAACTCACTGCATTGATAGATTTATTTGAGGTACTTTAACGATGGCGAACGCTTCCACAACAGGTCCAGACGTCAATTCAAGCTATCATGCTGAAGCTCAGCTTCTGCCGTTCGGAACGTTGATTGTCTTCGTCAATGGCGTTGTATTTTTACTTTTCGCTAAAAATAAACGTTTAAGAACGCCAACAAACTATTTTCTGTTCAGTCTGGCTGTGTGCGACTTTATGACGGGGCTCATCATTATTCCTCTGGTTATTATTGTGCTCACAAGAGTCATTGCTCCCCCATCTGGTGTCATCGTGGGATTTTTCGTGACTATTCTTCACAACATGTTAGTAGTTTTAGTGATATATCACATCTTCATAATAACTGCCGAGAGATATTTTTCAATCGTTCACCCGTTTCGTCATCGATGGAAGACAACAAAGAGTTCAGTTTTGAAGATTATTGTTGTTATTTGGTCGGCTGCGATCGTAATAGCTTTCCTGCCTGTCACGTGGTTTCATGGTTTTATTTATTTTCAAGAGGACATTTCATCTGCAACTCTACAGATACAAACGGGACATAATATATTCTGTATAGTTTTCGTGTTCCTTTTGCCGTATGTTTTAATTGTTTATTTTCAAGTCTCTTTATACAGAAAGATTAGACAAAGGACGTTCGTTAGCAAAAGAGAAAAACAAAAACACACTGTAAACCACAAGGCTCATAATGTCAGGCGGAGTCTGATAATTTTTGGACTTATGGCTTTGCTTTATGCTATCTGTTGGTTTCCTTGGTATGTGATCAGCTTCTTGATCAGTCTCTGGTTCCCTCTCTCTGGAGAAACGCGAAGAACTTTGTCGAAATTTGCACATGCCTTTCTCATCATAAGATATTTAACCTCAATTGTAAACCCGGTACTTTATACATTTCTCAAGAGAGATTTCCAACAAGCTTTCAAGATTGTTGTGCTAAGACGGAATATACGACAGGAGAGTAGTCACGCAGTGTATTTGTCCCCCCGACAGAGACTGCCTCGCAATGCTGACCTTGAAGGGTACGTGAACATTGAGTATGTTTCAACAGTGTAGATTAAAACTAATTGAAACACAGGCGGCCCAAGCTACAATTGTGAGATGATCACCTTGCGAAATAAGAGTCATGGCGAAATTATAAGTCAGAGTTTGTATGGGAATTTTTTGTGACCGCTCGTAAGAATTAAACAAATACAGTCAAATTCTCAATAAAAATACGCAACCTTACTTTCACAGTGTATTGCTTGTTATCTGACCACTTACTATGTTAACAAGAACCCATCTTAGCGAGTTATCCATTTCTAGGTTTACTACTTATAAAAGAAACCCAAGGCTGAACACTCCATTTCCGAACGCCCGATCCGACAAGCGAAAAGTCGTAAATCAAAATGACCGAGCGGCCAAAAATCCAATGCAGAACCCAAGGACATATACTACCCTAAGTTAGCCATGTTCTACCTCGTTAACCCACATTTACCCCAAGTTAGCCATGTTTTACCACTTTAAACCCCATCTACCCTAAGCTAACCATGCTCTACCTCGTTAACCACCATCTACCCTAAGTTAAGTATGTTTTACCCCGTTAACCACCATCTACCCAAAGTCAGCCATGGTCTACCACATTAGTTCACGTTCTATTACGTTCACCCTCATCTGCTCTCAGGAAAGCACGTTCTACCTTATAATCCCTGATGGTGGCTCATTAGCAAACAGTCAAGCTATATATTTAATCAGCAACAAGAGTCTCAATGTATTACAATGAAAAGTCACGTTTGGGATATTGTCAAGAAGATGTTCTTAGAACTGGCAAAAAAGAAGTGCGATTCATCATTTGATTTGTCATCAGTAATATAGGAGTATAGTTTGTATGTTAGTTTTATGCTGTACTTTATCCATGCAGTTCCTATAGACTGAATCCTTTTTTCTTAACTCTCTATCTGTCCGATGCGTCTCCCTTTTCAGTGTAAGATCGCTTGTTATCGTCAAGTAATTTGAAAACTCTTGAAGTAATCATGTGTAGAAATACGATACCATACTCAGGTGTATTTCGCAGAAGTTTGGCTAAGAAACCTCGAAAAGGGTGATGGGGTTCTTAACGATAACATAAGTTTCACTCCAAGCATTTCTGTGGTCCTACACATATTACATTTTTATTGTGCAAAAAAGTCAATATTTAATACAAAGTACCAGCGGGAAAAAAAGTTTATTTTCACACAATGGATTCCTATCAACTACTGGTAATGATTTATTGAAAGTAGTATGTACTTAATCGCAAAAAATACAATTTCCTGGATTGAGACTGATTTAAAAATTCCTATTTTTCACAAAATCACTTGCCAAGTTGTTATCAGACAGTTTGTTGTCGGACTGCTGCCATTGGATTTAACATGGTAGAACATCGCTAACTTGCGGTAGATGGTGGTTAACGTGATAGAACATGGCTAACCTGGGGTAGATGGTGGTTAAGGTGGTAAAAAATGGCTAACTTAGGGTAGATGGGGATTAACGTGGTAGAACATAGTTAACTAAGGGTAGATGTGGGTGAACGTGGTAGAACATGGCTCACTTGGGGTACATGATAGAACATAGTTAACTTAGGGTAGAAGGGGTTAACACGGTAGAATAAGATTAGCTAGGACATATCGTTACTCATACGTGAAAGTTATGACATTAATATTATTCAGCCACGAAGTATATACCATCACGACACACGACCGTTGAAAACCAGCTTGGTAACCTTGCCTCCTTTGCAAACTGAGCCTCGCCGTGGACCACACCGTCAGTTGGCACCCTTGGTTCTAAAACAATTTGTTTATTCCCATACAAACTCTTATAATTTTGTTATGACTCTTATTACGCAAGATGATCATCTCACAGCTGGAGCTTGGGCCGCCTGTGATGGAAAGTAATTTAAGCATGCAGGTTCTGATAAACAGTACAGGAATAGAATCGTGAATCGTGCCGGCGAGCCATGCGAGCATATGGGAGGTCTCTAAGGGTGCTTGCAGTAAGAATTTTTGTATCAGAATCCTCATGACCTCTCACACGTTCACACCCCTATACCAAAAAGTGCGTGTTTCACTCCTAGCCCTCATTTTCCTCTGTTACTTCATTGCTCGTATACAGAGGAAACTTGTCTTTTCAGACTAATTTATAATAATTTCTATTCAAGGAACAAGAAGACCCGCTATAAAAAGCACTTTGCAGGCGGTCTATATTAAATTGACATTTTTGATCAGTTTGTCGTGGTGTTCAGTGATTGATGAGGTTCGCAATAATGTTGACAAACTTCATCTTCTTGTCTAAACTGCCTTCCCAGTTTGGGTTGGAACCTTTGCAATTTTGGTCTCCTTCCAGACAGTGAAGGGGAAAAAATCGCTTTAATCAAGCCCAATAGGGAAAATAACTAAATAGGGAAATAGCAGCCTGGGAAAATGATGAAAAGTTGCGTGTAACAACTTTGTTGGAAACATTACCTGAAATTCCACACAAATAATGATACTGCAAACTCAAAAGAATTGCAATTAGCAGTTTGTACGGTCATCAGCCATTGCCTTGATTTTTTTTATGCTGGTGTAATGCATTCGATCCTAACGTATTCTTACCGTTCAGAAACGGTAAGAATACGTTAGGATCGAATGCATCTCACGCACGCCTTGTCTGATGAAAGTTATGAAGAGCTCCTTTGATTACCTTTGCCATCGGCCTCTGCTGTAAGAACAAATACGTTTTTTGCAAAGAAAGAATTTTAATGTCACCAGTATATTTATTGAAGGAATAATAAGTGCTGCACATAGGCGACGTTGCAGTGACTTGCATTTGAGAGTGAAAAATTGTGCTGACGCTGTCATAGAATTTAACCGAAGTCTGGATTCACATTACTGGAAAATTTTCTTTTTCAAAGTTTCGTGAAACGACTGCTTCATTCCTTTTCTTTTTCCTTTTCTTGTATTTAACTAAATGCAATTTGAGCGGTTGCTTCAGCCTGATAAATCTCATTGTCGTTATTAAAAAACCTCACGAAATTAAATTCATCCTTTTTTCGGAAAAGAAGAAGAGTTTGAGGACGGAAATACAAAATCATTCACGAAATTATGGCTTCTTTGTCTCTCATTTTCCTGCATTATATTCATTTTGAAATCACAGGTAATCCTTGCAGTCTGGCCTTGACTTCCAGAAGTTTAGAACAAAAAATATGTCATGATTGCCTTGATCTCATCTTTGTTGTTTAAAATTGACGCAAGACCTTCCGCTAGGCTAGGAAATATAACATATCGAAAGGAGAGGAGAAGACCTCTCAATTTTTTTCCGTTCAAGTGGGAGATTTGTCATTCATCCTCCGCCTCCCCAAGCATAGTATGACTACCATTAACAACAAAATATTACATAATGTTCACCCTTTCACTCTTTTGATCTAAAAAAACAATTAATCATACTTTTGTATTATTTTGTTAATTCTGGTCCTAAATCAAACAACACACCCTAATTGAAATTATTCCAAATTTCCATAACATGTTTGATTCATGATGTTTTGATGCTGCAGGGTAAATTACTTACATTAAATTCAAGGTGTGATTTGTTCTTGACATTATTCCAGTTTGTTATCAAGTTTTAAGAAAAGTATTAAAAAAAATTAATTTTGTTCCGACAAAGTTTGTAAGAAAAGGAATCATATTCCATAAAATTACATCCAGAAAAGATTAGAAGCAACACCTGTAAATTAATTCTGCCTCTGAGAAAAAATAATGATATATGAAAATCGATGCAATGGCAAAATAACTTAGTAGAGAACTTTCGGCTCATCTAAAACAAAGGTTAATGTGAAAATTAGGGAACGGTTTATGATCTCCTGGAGTTTCTTTGTTGGAGCGGAAGAGAGACGGAGTCACTGAGCTTTATTTTAAATCTGAAAACATTTTCCTGTGGTGTCTTCATCCTCCGTCTAAATGTATCGCAGTTATCAGCTGTTTTCGGAAATTATATTTTTCCTGAAACCTCCCGAATTACATTGACTCGGTCAATTCTAATACAGATATGGTTGATGAGACCCCCAGTAAGAAACTTTTAGCTCGAGTATATCATAAACATGACAATATATTATAGAAATAGGGGGTAGATTGGCATGTTACGATTTTCAACATTTGTTGAGAGCATCATATTTAGATTTCGGCCTTTTTCTATGACTATGATAAAAAAATATACGAACGACAAAAACATATGCCCCGTGACGAAGCATTCTGATTTTTTTTTCGAAACGCTCGTTGACAAAGGTAATATAACTCCAGCAGTAAGACACTTAAACGCGCGGTGTGAAACTCTCATTTAAAATTAAACTTCAATTATCTCCCAAGACAAAAACTCAAATTTATTTGAATTTACTCGCTTGAGCTCATCTAATGTCGAGATTTCTGAAGTATTTGCATCATAAACAGCTAAAATGTAATTTTTCAGGGCACCTTGTGGCTGAAGTGTCAGCGAAATTATCAGAAAATGGTCAAAATAGTCAGCATTTAGGAAATTAATGTTAAAAATCTGTAACATTGAACAAAAAGAACCGACATCCTGATGTGGTATCAGTGTAATATTAGTTTATTTAGTGCTTTTAAGATGTCTGTAACAGGTGATATACATGGATTAGAGCGATATAAGGATAATGCTTGTGTATTGCTTGGCGCAGGCAATCGACAGAAACTTTCATTCTGCGAGCTTATGAATGCGTATTAACAGAAATTTAATTTCTTAACGCATCTTACCACCCTATCAAGAAGATAACTACAGCACGGATGGAAAACGGTATAAAATAAGTATTTATCATGGCGACCATAAACTCCTCGACAAACCTAACAGACGAGAGTTCTGGGTATTATGCCCAGCTAATACCAATCGCGGTGTTGATTGCCTTCGTTAACGGCGTCGTATTTGTGCTTTACGCCAAAGACAAACATCTAAGAACACCAGCTAATTATTTGCTGTTCAGTTTGGCAGTATGCGACTTTATGACAGGGCTTATTAATATTCCTCTATTCATTATTGTGTTCACAAGAGTATTTGCTCCTCAACCTGGCAAGATTTTCGGATTTTTCGTGGTAGTTCTGCATAATATGGTAATAGTTTCAGTGGTTTACCACATCTTCTTAACAACTGCCGAAAGATATTTTTCAATCGTTCACCCGTTTCGTCACCGATGGAAGATAACGAAGGGTACAGTTTTGAAGATTATTCTTGTTATTTGGTTGGCTGCCATCGTGATAGCTTTCCTGCCTATCGTGTGGTTTCATAGGTTCATTTACTTTCAAGAAAACATTTCATCTGTAACTCTACAGATACAAACGGGTCATAATATATTCTGCATGGTTTTTGTGTTTCTTTTGCCATATACTGTTATGGTATATTTACAAGTTATTATGTTCAGAAATATTCAAAGAAGGTCCTTTAAGTTTGGCAAACAAGAAAGATTAAGCTGTACTGCAGTAAACCGAAAATTTAACAGCATGAAGCGAAGTCTGATCATTTTCGCGCTCATGGCTTTTTTTTATGCTGTTTGTTGGTTTCCTTGGTATGTGGTCAGCCTCCTCATCAATCTCTGGTTTCCTCTTAGTTACGAAGCACAGATTGTTCTTTCGAAGTTTGCTCATGCATTTGTCATAATAAGGTATTATGCTTCCATTGTCAATCCGGCACTTTATATATTTCTTAAAAGGGACTTCTTCGCGTCTTTAAAGTCCATCGTTCTACGACGTACACCAAAAAGAACAAACAACAGTCAAGCCACAAGTTTGATCACGGAACGCACAGTTAATAGAGAATATGCTCTAGGCCTGTTAACGGGGCAGGATAAAGAAGCACTATAGAATCTTTCGGTGGTTTAGAACTACAACAAAAAAAAAAAAATGGGAACAAAGGATACAGGATAAAAATTTGGCATTAGTTATTGAAGATAAAACTTTGACTCCCCGGTTTCTTTCCCCATCAGGACCTTTATGGTACATCAATTGTTTTTATTTACTCCATCATGCTCCAGCCTATCACTTCCCATGTAAGAACAGTTCGTAAGATGGCCGGTAGAGGTTCTTATGAAATACTCAGTTTCGCCGAGAGTGTTAACGTTTTCTGTAGCAATAAAACGACTTCGCTCATGCCTAAGCTTTCTTATTCCGGAAAGCTTTAATAAATGTAATTTTCATACGTCTAACAGCTAAACTTTTTGACCGTTTTACGGCCAACGGCCAGCCCCATTGAGACCTTCTGCACTCTGCTTTTATCAATATATTCAAAACTCATCTATAATATGATGACCTTCGTCAAAAAGTTTAAATGCTGTTCATGAAATCAGAATAAACCCTATTGGTTAGTTTTATACTTTTTACAAAGTAAATATACTCGGGTTTGCTATCCATGCATGCACAGAGTTCTCCCAGTTACTCCGTAATTTTAAACTCCAGATCTAGTAGCTGACATTTACCCGGTTAAAATTAAATGAGCTGATCATGTCAAGCACTGTGATCTTATGGCGGATTTTGAAATAAGCTTGGTCACCTATTCGGTTTAAAAACTGCTCGGGATAATAGCTTGCGTTCTTCCCTTCAAGGAGGCAAGAGAGAGCGGCGGAAATCGAACCTACCTTGTGTTTGCAAATTAGACACGAGTTTTAATCGATTTAAGTGTGAGCCCGAACTCACAGGCTTACTTCTGGCCGAGAAGTTGATCAATTGACTTGACCGCGGCCTAAACTGAATTACATCTCACGAAGAAGAGCAGTCCAAAACGTAAAGTGTTGGTACTCTGCATATAGATAAAATAAGATAGTTTGTGTTCATGGCCAAACTCAAATTCGACAATTTTTTTTGTCGGTCGACATCATTAGCTCATAAAATGCAAACTCTACTGTTTGAAAAAGAAAAGAAAAGAATAAAAACTACCTCCTTTGTCATCACAATTACAAACTCCAAACAATTTTTAGGACTGTTCACCGTTAGTACATTACTTGGGGTTTATCAACACTCACTGTCACCAAAATACCCCTCACCCTCTTGGATGGTGCCTAAATTCACCGCCTTGGAAGATTGCCTATCACGTGAATGAGTGACTGACACTCCAGAATGGTTGAATTCCGTTTGCAATGTCTCGTTCCCATTAGGATAGATAACTGAATGCGAAACTTGCCTGCGTCTCCTGAAGGTAAATTTAAGAGTCTGTAAAAAGTCTCTTTTTAGAAAAGTGTAAAGCAGCGGGTTGACAACTGAGGTCATGTAGCGGATAAAAAGCGCCACTTGAGACGGTACAAGCAATTTAGAGGTGTCGAAGGACAACTGGTATAACAGAAATACCACAAACCAAGGAAGCCAACAAATCAGAAATACGGACGACATAATGACAAATAGTGTTAGACACTTAAACTCGCTACCTGAATGTTTTTCAATGCTTCTACTGCGGCGCAGAGCCATTCCGGAATCATTACTACGTTGATGCTTATCCCTTGGTTTACCATAGACGCCTTTAAACATGTCAGCGAATGCATACATCAAAAAAATGTAGGGTAGAACCAAGACAAATATCGAGCAGAATATAGTGAAACCAAATGCTAACCTTGAAGAAACTGGCTTTTTTACTGGATATATCTTATGAATCCAGGTAAATGGAATTGATGATATTAGAAGCGAGGAAATCCAGACAGTAGTTAGCACTGTTAGGACGTTCTTTTGGTCAAGAACGCGATGTTTAAATGGAAATTTAATCGCCATGTAACGTTCCCCCGTAACAATAACTATGTGGTAAACAGTGACGATGGCTATGAAGTTGTGAAGAACTGTTACCAAAAATCCCAGATAGAACCTTGTTGCACCTTGGGATTGTACCAATGGCGTAAAATACATTATTGTAAATAGAGGAATGACTACAATTCCGCAGAAGAAGTCACAAGTTGCCAAGCTGAAAAGTGGATAGTTTGAAACGGTCCGCAGAGATCTATTCTTGAAAAATAAATAAAGGACCAAACTGTTGATGAGGACGATAACTGTTGCAATGGAAATCAATATTGCAACTTCCGTGTTGTTTGTCTCAAGCTGGTTGCTGACTTCGTGCAGATGATCTGAAAGTACCGTTGCATTGCGGGACTCGTTGAAGTAGGGTGCCGTATTATTATCCATAGGATATGATAATACCAAGAAAATCAAATGTCAAAATAATACTTTCAACTGAGTCGAAAGAACTGATGAGTTGACGTGATGAACTATCTTCTTGACTTTCTTCTGAGAAACTTTTGATGAACTAGCTGTGTGGCGAGTCCTGTTTAGCCTCTATATCCTAGCACTCTAATATAAAAAAAAAAATAGGCTGCATCAGTTTTCACATGGAAAATTACGTCATGCAGATTAGTAACGCAAGAAGGAAGTAAAGTTAAGGAACTGCCACGGAGCAGCTCCTGAATTTTAATTGTTAAAAATCATCAGTACATATAAGCCGACCCAAGATAACATTGCTATAAAATGTTTATGTTTATGTTTTAAGTTTTAGTCGGTGGCAACATAAATCAAACGTATTGCAATAGAGTAACCAGGCCTGCCAAATTTGTGGACCAAAATTCAAGTAAAATCGCGTTTTATAACCATTCGTTTGGACTCAAGGGTCCGGTCCCACGAATGCTGAAAATATGTATACCCCAGGGAAAAAATGACTTTTAATCTTTTCTGAAAATATAATAGTGCCGAGTGTCAATTCGACTGTTAGCAGAAAGATAACTTCCCTGGATCTGAACTCAAACTCTTATAAAATCAATGTCAAGAAAACGATAATTTAATAGCAAAAGATCTACAATGAGCCCACAGTTATTCATAAGAGACAAGAAGATACTGCGTTCTCATTGGCGTTAACCATAATAAGAGACTGTTACGTATTATTTCAAAACTAACACAATTTATAGAGGATCGATGATCTTGTTAATGAAGGTTGTCCCTTCGCTTTAACATTACGGGTGTGACGATGGGTTTTCGCGCACTAAACTGAACTTCGCGGGAAGCGTACAAAACGGGGGAAAGTAACCCGATAGAGACCAGTCGGCTTGCGAGAACGGAAATTCGGCACGATTTATCTACTTCGAGCGAGCTAGTACGGACGTCAAGGATGAGACAGCGTTCTGGTTCCACAGCAGACATTATTCGAAAAGCACTCTAACATACACCATGCCAGAGTAAAAGCTAAACTAGTAATCGTCACGCGGTCTTCTATGTAATCGAAAAAGCTTTACAAAGTACTTGCTTAAATATGAACTGGTGCGAGGTTCTATTGTTCTCTAAATTTACCATATTTGAATGGTATAACAAAAGAAGCGGAAAAGGTCTCCTAGAAGTAAACGATTTCTACTTTTCTACGATTTTTACTCATCTGTCAAAATTAGGGAAGAGGATCCAATAAATTCTAGGCAATTAAAAAATATGAAATTTAGGTGAGAATTAACAGCTCTGATATTGAAAATATACCTGTCTTAATTACAATAGGGCAGCTTAGGAAATAAAAGTGGAAAAGCAATTTAAAATTTCTGCTAATCTATGCAAGGTTGGTGTGGAAACTATCGTATGAAAGGAAATGGAAATTATGAGTACAAACTCAGCTGCCAACTACCATGAGAACCAATTTTTCCAGAAAGACCATTAACACATATTTACCTAAAATTTCACTAGTAATGGTGAACAAAAGTACCAACATGCAGTTGTACAATGAAAGCAAGCAACAAAATAAAAATTTTTAAGTTTACTACCTAAAACTAATGTGGCTTTTTATATATTTTTTGACTAACTAGAATGAAGGAACTTGACTGAAATCGAATGATTAAATATGGAAAGTTTATGAGTACATATGTCCCAAACAAGCACTCGGAAAAATCAGTAAATTTTCCCGTAACACGGGCCTCTGTACCAAAGGTTATTCGATGTAATTCAAAATATAGCATTTGCTTGACGCAAAGGTGGAAACTCACTGTTAGATTTAATTGGGAGCATAAAAGAATTTGACCTCTCGCTCAATAACTCAGATGACGGCGACACCAATACATTACCATTATCACTCTCTTTACGATTGGATTTTAATTGTGCAAAGGAAACGAATAAGTAATTAAACACTCGTCGACATCCCCAAACAATTAAACCAGAGAGCTGAACGAAGTCCAAAGAGAAACAGAAAAAATTGGGCCGGTGTCAAGTGACGACATTTTCTTCGAGTCGGTCTCTCATTCAATATGAAATTATGTTGCTATTTCCTATAAAGGTAGTTTCCCTCACTTTGAGGGAGCAAATCTGCCACTAAGGCACACTTAAGAAAAAGAAGAATGATAGAAATGCGACTGTTTTAACAAACGAAAATTTCGTTGATCAGTTCTAGAAAAAATTGAAGCTGCTTGCTATCATCTAAATCATAATACAAGCACTCCAAAACAACTAAGAGGAAATTGAATAAATAAGTACCAACTTTCAATACTGCCTTTATCTGACATGAGAATGGACCGTCGTCCTAGGACATTCATTGCCGATGTTGTAAGACAACGACGAAAGTTGATCCATATTGACCCCAGCTGGTCACCATATTTGTGTTATGCCCGCAATTTTTCACAAGTTTCGGTTCCCTCCGCACCTCTTCTTTACGTCACGTCCTCATTTTACCAGATAAGGCCTTCATAGAAAATATCTTATTTCATACGGACTAGGGTTAGAACACGAAACAAGTAAGCCAATTCATCATTTCCGTCCGCGCTAAATATAACAATTAATACTAACCGGCCGACTTGGCATCGAAGTTCAGTTACTTATCGTAATTTACCTTCGTGACATTACGTAGCTTTCGGCATGGCTTCCTTTATTAATAGACATTTGATTTTTAACTCGTGAATACGCGATAGCATAGAAACGAGTTGTTGCGGACACCTTGCGATATGCAAATTACGTGGACTCTTCGTAATTAGTCGAAATAAGTCGGCTCCAAACTCGAGATCTATACTTTTGAAGAAGTCCGAAGTCCTGGCGCCATTGTGATTGCATCAATCGTTGCGATGTTTATTGTCTCTACACGGTTGTTTCGACATTTAATAAATTGAAATGGACTTCGAATGTTTCAGATTAGTGTTATGATCAACTTAAAGACCAAATTTGAAGGGGCTTCGAATCGTCCAAGCGCTAAACGTTACGAGAAGCAGCAAGAATCACGAAGAGTTTGTGAGTGACAGAGCAAGCCGTTGACATGGAAATTCCCACGGAGACATTTACCCATGACATAAAAAAATCTTATTTACAGCATTATTTCTTTCGTTTCAGGGTTTTTTTTCGAACGTTTCAGCAGCTACGCCAATTTCGGGCTTTTCGTTGTGGTGGTTTCGTTTTGTTGTTTTTCTATGCGAACGGCTCTGCATCACGAGCGGGGGAGGAAGAAATGACCGAAATACGAGTGGTCAGCAGGGAAACAAATTTAATACTTCATATAGAGACATATCAGTTGTAGTTGCTGGAAACAATAGTGTTGTAAAGCCGAAATGTTAACAGTATTCTTCGCTAAATAAGATGTGAAGCAATTTTTCAAAAGTGTTGATGGCACATTCCCCTGCTGTATTGAACAATGGAGGTATCGGGAAAGGCATCGGTGGCATTCGGAAAGGCGCCAAGAAGAATTATATTTACGTTTTGTAACTTGCAAAAAACAATCGTGTTGTAAAGCCAAAATATTACCAGGTTATACTTCGCTAATTCCAAAGTTAAGCAATTTTCCAAACGCTTTGACTGGAACAATATTTTTACTGCTATATTAACCAACAAAGGCATCGGGAAAGGCATCGGTGACACTGGGAAAGGCATCAAGAAGAATGATATTTACGATATGTAACTTGTTGTATGACGAAAAAAAGTACTTTGACTTGTTTAAGGCGTTAATCACAGTCGGTTTGCTTTCCACTTGAATTTTGCAATCTCGACTTTCGATTGCGGAAAAATGAAAAGCTAAGCAACGCTAAAAAAATTTCGTTCTAAATTTTTTATATTTTTAGAGTCATTAATAAGTTTGTATCCACAGCCAAATAAGGTAAGAAATTTTAAATTTCCATAAGCTGTAGTTCTTTTAGTGTTTATTATGTATATTCAATCTCCCATTTCACGTGAAAAAAACATGTAGGAAAACACTGAGCTTCGAGAAACAACCAAGTTAAGGCTAATGTGTTTACCATGCTTAAATATTTATAATCAGGGCCACTCGTTTAAGAGACCTTTTTTCAAAAGATCCAGGCGTTAAATAATTCTGTTTTCCGTTCGAAGTGTTTTTTTTCCTATTTTATCTAACAAATGAACTCGGGATGAAAACTTAACTTTCGAAGCGAACGGCAGGTCACTGTCCCCCACGTCTCTGCGAAAGGTATATCCAAATGACCTGCATGGAAAAACTGACCACAGCTATCACACCAAATTTAAAAGAAAAATCTTTAAAACTAAACTGGTGAGCAGCACTCTGCGAACGGTAGTTGTAAAATTTCTTTATTCTCCGACGCGTTTCTTTTAATTGTCGTAGACTTCTTCGGGGAGTTTTACAATTTAACACTAAACACCTATATTTATAAGCCATAGTTAATGGCTATAAGGGAGCCAATGACCATAAAGGCTTGGCAGACCTTCGAATAGGAATAGGTGAAGTTGCGAAAAATTTGAAAATTTTTTTGGGCAAGGTCGGAGAATTCATTTGGGGACCACGGTTTTGGTTTTCTTTTTTCGTCACGCAGCAAGTTACAAAACGTAAATATAATTCTTCACCGATGCCTTTTCCGATACCTCTAATGTTTATTACAGCAGTAAAAGATATATGTGCCACCAACACTTTTGAAAATTTGCTTAACATTTTCTTTAGCGAAGTATACTGTAGATATTCATATTTCGGCTTTACAACACTATTGTTTTCCGCAACTATAACTGATATGTCTCTATATGAAGTATTAAATTTGTTTCCCCGCTGACCACACGTATTTCGGTCTTTTCTTTATTCCCCACTCGCCCGTGATGTATTAACACCCGACTGTTCTGATAGTAAGGATGAAATGTGATCGGTTTCTACAAGTCGTTGTCGGGCACGTGATCATAATCTGGCCGCTGTTGCTTTGATCACTTGACGATCTTTTTCGCTCAAA